AACAAGGTCTTTCACAGAGCAAAGTTTTTAATTTTTATGGTGTTCAATTACTGATTTTTTTCCTTAATGAATTAAGTTTATGGTGTCCTATCTAAAGACTGTTTACCTAGCTCTAGGTCCTAAAGATGTTTTCCTCTGTTTTCTTCTAAAAGTTTTAGAGTTTTACATTTCACGTTTAAATCCATTTTACATTGATTTCATAATGATCCACTTTACATTGATTTTTTAAAATATGGTATTCTTTAAAACATAAGTTTAGGTTGAGGCTCATTTTTTTTTTTTTTTTTTTGCTTATGATGTCCAATTGCTCCACCATTCGTTGAGAAGACTATCCTTCCTTCATTGAATTGCTCTTGTACTTTTGTTAAAAATCAACTGGGCAGATTTGCATTGCTCTATTTCTGGGTTCTCTATTCTGTTCTGCCAATCTGTCTATTCCTCTGCCAATACCACACTGTTTTGATTATGTAGCTCTATAGTAAGACTTAACAGTAGGTAGAATGATTCCTCCCCCTTGCTTCTTTTTTTTTTCCAACATTGTTTTAGCTATTCTAGCTCTATTCATGCTTCTCATTTTACTTTACTGCACTGCTTATTCTTGCTTTTAAGGTCCTCCTTATTCTTAGTGGAGGTATGACAACCTACGTGAGAAAGGAGGAAAAAAAAGAATCATGAAGGAAAAAAATAAGTAATATACTACCACTACCTAAAATGTTACTCAAAATTTTCATCCATCTGTCCTTCAATGAAGTCCTAATTCCTCGATTAAGGGTTCTCTACTATTCTGGGCCATCTCTAAATGTAATAGCTCATTAGCCACAAGTCATTTGCTTCCTTCTGTTAGATATTCGTAAATATATTTTGTGTCCAACAGAATGTCAATTTATCAAGATAGGATCCATGTTTTGGACTTCTTTATATTCCTCCATAAGCTCCAATAAACATGGAATCTGTTAATTGAGAATTATTTATCTAATCGGAGTTTATAACAGAGAGAACCTAGAAAATCTAGAAGAACATGGGTAAAAAATGAGTTAATTGCTCCACTGTTCCTTGTAATAGGATCATTATCTCACCAAATCTCAAGATTTTAAATTTAATCTTCTGAATTAAACTGTTAAAGAATATACTTCTCAGCTCTTTTTCCTTTTTTTTTTTTTTTTTTTTGATAATATGGCTTAAGTAAAGAAAAGAAATAGTGAATAATGAATTACAGTGATTTCCTTCTTTTCTCCTGCTGTTTACCATTCATCTAAATTTTAGGGTTATCATCCCTAACATACCAGGTAGATTTACTCAAAACATAAATGGCCCCATGGGTTAGAATAATAAAAGCTGGAAATGTAAAATGGGTTATTTTACAATTGTAAAAGAATTTACTAAGTCCAATTTCCTATAGTCCTAACTGCAGCAACTACAATGGGTCTTTCTGCCCTCTGCTTACCATCCTGAGAACACTTTCTTCTTAACTATCAATGCTTTGCTGATAAGATTTCAACAAATTATGGTGTACAGCCTACGAAAAAATACAGCTCCTTAATCCATGTTTTTAGCTATAATTTACAATAGCCATAACCTGCCCAACCTATGGATCAAATTCCTGCTCCTTTGCTAAAACAGATGTATACAGAATATATATACAGATATATATCCCCTCCCCGAAAGTTTCTTTATTCACTGGCTGCCTATGAATTGAGACTTAAAATAATTTGTAAGACACTATCATAGTAAATGCATTAAAATTACATGCAGATTAGATCTTTTTCTCTTATAAAACAGAGCAATTCCCATATGCTACTGCAACAAGTTTGCTAAAACTTATTTACTTGTTCCTCTCCAATTATTTCACTGTACTGTGGGACTACCAGGCAGGGTAGGCTACAATCAAGAAAGTTTCAGAGCCATTAGCCTCACAAGCTTTCATCAGTATGTCTTTTGTGGCCTCAGAAGGTGTCTTCTCCAAGCTCTCATCTGATGCTCTGGCAACTAAGTAGATGAATTGTAATTCTCATAATATGTACATTAATAAGGCTCTCTTTAGCTCTGTCCTTTTCACTTCAATGCTTTATTACAGGGACTACAATACTCACAATGCAATAATACACTACAACCCCCACCACTGTCATTCCCAACGGACACACAAAAACCCCTACTTGATTAGCAAAAATTCAGAAACTTGGTTCTTGTGTCGAGAGAACTGGAGTAACATGAACTTAGACATTGCTTGTGAGAGTGTAAACTGGTACAACAGCTTTGGAAAACAATCTGGGATTATCTTCTAAAGATAAACATGTGCACACTAAACAATTACACTCCTGTATCTGTATCTATACCTTCAAAACAGGTACACCAAGTGACAGGCAAACATATTTATAGCAGCCTTTTTCATAACTCTAAAAAACACAAACAACCCAAATACTGATTGAAAGAAGATTGTAGTATATTCACACAACAGAATTTCACACATTAGTCAAAAACTAAATACAGTAAACACACAACATAAATGAATCTCAGAAACAATGATGAATTTTTTTAAAAGCAAGGTACATAAAGTTGATATGCAAGAAACTACCATACTTGTGAATTTTTTTAAAAAAAGCAAAATCAGGGCCAGCCCATGGCTCAATTGGGAGAGTATGGTGTGGATAAAACCAATGCCAAGGGTTTGGATCCCTATATAGGGATGGCCAGTTAGCTTACTTGGGAGAGCATGGTGCTGACAACACCAAGTCAAGAATTAAGATCCCCTTACCGGTCATCTTTTTTTTTTAAAAAAAAAAGCAAAATTAAACATGTTGTTATTGTTTAGGAAAACACTCATGTAATTTTAAAAAGGAAAAATAAACAAAAAATCAGTACAGTGGGGGTCATAGAGATGGACTGGGAAGTACACAGTTAGCTTCAACAAGATTGGTAAAGTTATAGTACTTGAATTGGGTAGTTGGCCCACTAGTTTCATTATTAAGTTTTAAAACATACACATTTACATACATGCATACATATATGTGTGTGTGTTTTGAGTGTGCATCATGTAGAACCTCTGGAGAACATTCCAGCTACAAAACAAGCTAGTACAATCACAAGGTGACATTCCTGATAACTGAGAACAATGCCAATAAATAAAATCACTTTATTATTGCTGTTTGGTAACTTCTGTGGTAAGAGAATGACAGATGTCTCATAAAAAAATTATAGCAAGGAGGCAGACAAGGGAAGTGGGTGTGGTTATAAATGGGCAACAGGAGGGATCTTTGCAGTGATAAAAATGTTCTGTATCATGACTATATCAATGTCATTATCCTGTTTGCGATACTGTCCTACAGTTTCACAAGATGTTACCGCTGGGAGAAACTGGGTAAAAGGTATATTAGATCTCTCTGTATTATTTCTTCCAATTGCATGTGAATCTACAATTATCTCAAAATAAAAGTTTAATTAAAAAAGAATCCTTCCCCACTCTCACTGCTTGACTAGCCTAAAAAAAAAAAAGTAAAATAAAATAATGCTTGTCCTGGATTTCTCCATCTTGGCACTACTGACATTTTGGAGCACATGATTTTTTCTTGTGTGCTGTCTTGGGCATTGTAAGTTAGCATGCCTGACCTCTACCCACTAAATGTCAGTAGTGCGCCCCCATTCGTAATAAACAAAAATGTCTCCATACATTGCCAAATGTTCCTGGGGAGCAAAATTGCTCCGGTTGAGAACCACTGCTCTAGTCATAAAAGCCAAGAAGAGGTATGGATACGTTCCCGATCAAAGAAGATTAAAGAAGTATGACAACTAAATGCAATACCCGATCCTAGGATGGATCCTGTACTGGAGGGGAAAGAATGCTATAAAGGACATTTTTAGGTCAATTAACAAAATTGGAATATGAATGGTAGATTAAATAAAAGTACTGTACCGATATCAAATGCACCTAAGTTGGTATATGTGCTGTAGTTATGTAAGAGAATATCCCTATGCTTGTGAAATACATACTGAAATATTTAGTGGTAAAGGATCACCATACATGCAATCTACTCTCAAATGATTCAGGAAAAAAATATATATACATATATACACATATATATATACATACACACACACATACATACATACATACACACGTGAACAGTATATATGTATGTACATATATATGTATGCAGAAGATGAATGTGATTAAAGCATATACAAACATGTTCTTTGTACCACTTTTATTCTTGCAACTTTTCTGTTTGAAGTTAATTACAAATCAAAAGACGTGGCTTTTTTTTAAGTGGAAAAAAAGTTTTTAAAAACCCTAATGGCAGTTTCCACAGCAGTAGTCCAGCATAAGTGATAAAAATCCCAAGAAGATAATGACTACTGACCAGATAAATTCCTCCTTCAAGCCTGGGACATTCACTGGGAAAAACTGCCTGCCTTTGGCCTCTCTCTCCCTCCCCACTCTTTCTGGAGGTGACCCCATAACAGTAAGAAACTGAAAATTAATCTATACCACTTCTAAAAGACCATTTGTAGAAAATGACTCAATAAACCTACGTCACTGAGGTATCTTCACTCTCAACAGTAAAGAAGCAAAATCACGAAAACCGTGCAAGTGGTTTTCTCCAAAGAAAACCACTGATCCACTCAGCTGAGCAAGTGGAGAAACAACGTTAAGTGGATTAGAGAAAAGACAACATGGAATGTCTAGAAGGGCTGAGGGAAGGAAGGGGTAAAAAGAGATAAGCTGGGATCCAATCTGAGCGAGAGCGAGGTAGAATGGGTGTGCCGGGCAGGAAAAAGTACTGGAGTGGGTGCCAGTGTGTCAGCGGGAGAGGGGTAGCTCACCTGGCTGTGGTAAGCAGAGGGTGCTGAGTCCCCACCAGCTTCCGCACCTGCATAGCAATGTTGCTAAGCTCGTCGCTCAGCAGACAACGGAGGCTCATGAAGGACGTGGGATAGCCCACGATCTTCTCCGCCTCTGACACCACCTGGTTCCAGTGGGCCGGGGACCTGGAAGACTGGCCACGCCAGGATCCCACCGAAGAGATGGTGTCGAAGGACGGGGACCACCACAGGCGACGCGGAAGACCCGAGGCCCCAAGGTAATGCGGCAAGCGCAACAGCAGCTGTGGAAGGCTCATGGTTTGAGTCTGGGAGGGTCAGGGACCTGGGGGTGTCCGGAGGTCGCGCGGGGAATAAACCGGGGACAGAGGAGGAACCTTCAGGGACTATAAGGAACTGGCGATTCCTGACCCTCATAGGAGGGTGGCTTCCTGGAGCCGTGACCAGAAAGGAACTGCTGCTTTCTGCAGCCCGGGCTGGAGTGACGGAAGCCTCAGCTAAGAACTGCCCCCGACCACCTGGGGTAGAAGCCACAGTCTCTGCCTATATGGGGGACGCCATGTTGGAGACGTGGAATGCGGCCTGCCGTAAAGATGGAGGCGGGCTGTTAAGGAGCAAAGAATGTTTCTTACTTTACGGCGCGCCGAGAACGCCCCCGAAGGGGCGGAGCTTTGGTGGAGAACACCGGAAGGCGACGAGTAGGAGGAAAACCTCAGGTCCTACCGCCCCCTCTTTCCAGCCTGCGAGGATCTAGGAGGACCTGGACAGGGTGTGGGCGCCCAGTAGTCTCCGTGTTCCTGTAGTCTGGGCTGAGTCTGGATTCATCGGAGCGTTCCCGGTGCCCAGCACAGAGTGGGCATGAATCAATATTTGTGTCATGAACGAGGGCCAGTGTCTAACACGTCTCTCTGATCTCAGGTGCGCCGCAAGGAAAGGTGTCGGTCCAAGGCTCCAGCTCTTCCTAAAAATCTTCCGTTGCTGTCCGCCGCCAGCCGCTGGCAGTGGCAGAGGACCGGCGTGAAGGCGGCCCCTCGGGCTGTGTGGCTACTGGAGCTCCGGGCCACAGCTCAGTGGTGCAACGCAAAGTCGGCGTGGGGCTGAGCCCAGTGCCCTCAGCGCCTAACCAGACGGAAGGTGGCGCGGCGCCGCTGCAAGGGGTCCTTTACCCAAGGGATGTCCTTGGATCCTTGTTCGAATCACCGGCCTCCTCGCTGAGCCTCCGTTTACTCCTGTATGCAACCCAGGCGGAACCAGCTATATCTACTTCACAAGGGTGCGGAGAAGATGGAATGAAACGCCTGCTCCCTGTCTCTCTCTTATTTTTCTCTACGCCTAGCCATAGAGCTGCGCTCACAATCCGGGATTCAAAACTATCACTGACCCCACTTCTTTTCATATATTAGCTCACGTATTAGCTCAGTTAAATCCTCAAAACGATCCCATTAAGCAGATAATACTCGTATTCTGTGTTTCATATGAGAAAACAGGCAAGCCAAGTCGTGTATGTTGCTGCCTAAGAGCCGCACTAGGCAGGCATGTGAACCCAGGCAATCTAGTTTCTGAATCCATACGCTTTACCATGCCATTACACTGTTAAAGTAGCAGGCTACCATCCATTCTTTTTTTCTGGTTGCTGAGAGGAAGCAGTCAATGTGATTGTCGTTTCAGCAATGCTTCCTATCCTTTTTTTCAAGTATAGTAGAGTCTCGTCTCCTTTCTTGTCTCCTAAAACAAGTGTGTAACAAACTTTTGTCAATAATAAAGCATATTTTACTCAGTTTTTACTCAACTTTCAAACTCCTTACAAATTCATGATTGATATTTTTAAAATTACCATCATGCACAGTTTTGGGTGACATTCTTGGGTTACATATAAAAATTGAGACTTTAAGAGCAAATTAGAGTAATTGTTCACTTTGCAAAATAAGTTGGTTTTCTCTATGAAAAAAGAACTTTTTTTTAGCTTCGAACTCCCTTTGAATGTCAAATTTCTCTTGTGATTTAAAAATTCAATTTTATTTACAAAAATTCAATTTAGGCGTAACTTTTCAGGGGCACATTTATTTACAGTGAATTATGCTTATAAGTATTAAACAGTCTATGCCCTCAAAAAAAAAAAAAAAAAGATAAGCTGAACTTTGAAAATAATTCCTATGAAAGAGATAAACTCCTGGCAATAAAATTCAGGTCTGTTACTACACGAAAATAAATATAGAGAGTGAGATATCATACCATTCCAAAAAGATCCAAGGTCTAAACTTCTAGGTTATCCAAGGTGAAAGAAGTCACGAAAATACAAAGAGAGATAAAGACTGAATGTGATATATTGTGCACCTGAGGCAGTTTCTTCAGAATCATGGTACCTTAAGAGTAGTTCTTCATGCAATTTCCTTAATACCAATTCACAGCATGTTCTTTAATTTCTCCACAGTAACCAGTGCATTATTCTCTGGTCATACTCTATTAACCAAGTTTTTGATTATGCATGAGACTTTTGGTTCCATGTACTTTAAATAATCAGCAGTTTCTGTTATTCTTAAAGGGTTGCATTATACCTAATGGTAATCAGTTTGTAGAAGGTTTAAATGGTATTTGTTCTTTAATCTTCCAGATAAATATATAATTCCTTAGAGTCTTTGTAATTAAAGAGATTTCTGAATTGCTAGTGACTTTTGGAGGAGCAGGGAGGAAGAGTATCTGTGGTTCTGCCCTTCCTCTGCCACTGATAATAGTAATTTTGAGGATGTCTGTGCATAAAGAAAATATAGCAGGGTTTCTCAGCCTCAGCGTTATTGACATTTTGGACCAGGTAATTCTTTGTTGGGGAGGGGAGGCTGTCTGAGTGTTGTAGGATGTTTAGCAGCATCACTGATCTTTTCCCACTAAATGTTAGTATTACCCCCTCCAAGTTGTGCCGACTAGATATGTCTCCAAATATTAATAAATGGCCATCCCCTGGGGGGCAAAATCACCCACTGGAATACAGGGAAATGGGAAATGCTGAAAGAAAAAAACAATGTCCATCCATGACATTTACTCCTGCAAAGCAGCAAAAGAAGAGATCCTGAGTGTGATTGGCACTGCAGGCCAGAGAGTGGTCACTCCACAATCTGCAGAAACATCTAGTCATACAAAGGGACTTCCCCTTGGAATTGGGTTTGTTCTGGAGATAGCAAGCTGACAGATGATGGTCATAGCTCCTCCTCCACCTTTCTCAGGATCCTGAGGCTGGTAATGTACCAGAGGACTTCATTTACTGGACTCTGTACATTCTGCTTACCTTAAAAAGGAGTGAGGTCATACTTGATGTCCTTTTCTTTGGCTGGAAACCCAGGTCAACTTTTGGAAATGCAAGATCTTAACAAGGATGGTGATGTTGTAGGCTTTGGCATTTCCATGATTAGGTAAGTGGAAATAGATAGAAACACTGCAGCCATCCTTCTTCTGTCACCCTCAACACAAGCACCTATTGTTTATCCTGAGAAGTTCTTCTAAAAGCAGATGAAAGCATTGTGGTATATCTTGAGTCAGAATGATGAAAGGAAGCAAGAATTCAGACTAGCAAAAATCCAAAAGTTTGACCACCTACTCATTTGGCAGGCTGTGGGAACAGGGATGACATGTATTGCCGTTGAGAATGCAAAATAGTACACAGCACCCCAGGAAGGGAATCTGATAATCCCTAGCAAAATTACATATATATTTGCTCTTTGATCCAGAAATCTCAATTCTGGGAAGCTATTTCAAAATACAAAGTGACTTATGCACAAGGTTATTCATTGCAGTATTATTTGTAATAGCAAAAGATTGGAAACAATCCAAATAACCACAAGTAGGGGACTGGTTGAACAAACTAGGATAGATCTCCACAGTGAAACACACTATGCAACTGTGAAAAAGAAAGGGACTCTTTACACAGATGTGGAGTGATATCCTGAGTTAAAAAAAAAAACAAAAAACAAAAACAAACAAACAAAACCAAGCTGCAGAAGGGTGTAGAAGCCTTTTTTTTTTTTTTTTTGCAAGATAGGTGAATATATTAGGAATGGGAGGGAACAGGTGGAGAATATAGGCATGTAAGCTAGACTACTTTGAATACAACTTGGATATATGGCTTTGATTTTTGAATTATGTATATTACATATTCAAGATAATTTTAAATCCAAAAGAAAAATGCAATTTCTAAAGTTTGAAAACAAATTGAAGCAAATGATCTAACTATGCATACGGTCCCCGACTTACAATGGTTCATCTTACAATTTTTCGGCTTTAGGAAGGTATAAAAGTGATATGTATTCAGTACACTCTTCGATTTAATGATGGGGTTATGTCTGGATAACCCTATCGTAAATCAAAAATATCGTAAGTCGAAAATGCCCTTTTGATTTACAATATTTTCAATTTAGATGGGTTTATTGGGAACATAACCTTATCATAAATCACAGAGCATCTGTATTAAGCTGGTGGCATAACCACACCAAGTAAACAATGAGATGAGTTTAGAAAATAGTGTTTTCACTGTACATTCATAGTAGAATATATTCTCAGGATAAATAGGCCAAAAAAATCTTAAGCTTCATTTAATAGTATTATTGCTATTAGAAATATAGCTACTACTACAGGTTCAGCACCCCTAATCTGAAAATCTAAAATCCTAAATGCTCCAAATTCTGAAACTTTTTGAGTGCCAACATGATGCTCAAAGGAAATGCTCATTGGAACATTTCATATTTCTGATTTTTGGATTAGTAATACTCAACCAGTATGTATTTCTTCAAATCTTCCAAAAATCCAAAAAAATCCAAAATCCAAAACACTTATGCGACTAAGAATTTCTGATACTTTCAAACTATTCCTGTATACAAGAGTACTTCAAAACGTTTGTGGAAAAATAGAATTAAAAGATAATCTGAATCTTTCCATGAACTTTCTTCTTTTATTTTTTTTGGTGGCTGACCAGTAGAGGGATCCAAACCCGTGACCTTTGTTTTACCAGGTTCTAACCAACTGCACTAACCAACCAGCCATTCCATGAACTTTTTGAGGTACCTTTGTATTATAGGTAAAAAACAAATATTAGAGTTGTTAGGAACAACGATTTTTGGAGTAGGTAGAAACCATACAATATTAAAATTGAATTGGAAATAGTGTGAACTTATGGATTTTTCTTTACAAACTATGTTTATTATATCCCAATAAGAAAAGCTTTACATTTATTGGGCGGAAAAACACTCACTTTCTTTGTCTCTTCAAAGGGCCCAGAAGTAATGACAATCTTGTAGTAATAAGCACCTTTGGCATTTATATTGTACTTTCAATACATCATTTCCTGTGAAAAGGAATAAGGGTCTTTGGAGGAATGACAGATTTCAGTCTCGGGTAAGAAATGTGTATGATGAATCTGGAACACCTTGTGCCAGATGTCAAGGAGGCTATTGAAAGTCTAAAGTCTAATGGGACATGTCAAAGGTACAAAGAAATTAGCATAAAGGATCTCCTGGCTGAAAAGAGAACAATCTGAACATCAAGTAAGAATAAAAGCTACAACTAATTGGAATCCATTGATTACATATAAATTCATGAGTTCGTTATTAGGCATAACCAGGGCAATACTCTGAGTATTTTCAGTGTAATGGAAGAATGGAGTATTTATCCTGACTTTCCTCTATGAATTATATTTAGTGGTGTCCTAGCCTGGCTTACCCCTTGAAAGTTGAACCTGAGACAAGGGCTTACTTTTCAGGTAGTTTATTTTGGACAGTGATCTCAGGAAATAGCAGTGTATGACTAGGGAAAGTGAAACAGGGGAAAGTCAATACAAGGGTATTCTCAAGTTAGTGACCACTGCGGGCAGTGAAGCCTTGAGCCATATAGAATATACTTTATAACTGCCAGCTTGATGCATGAGGAACGTGGTTATTTACCAGCTCCCATCTCATTGGTCCAAGTTTCCCCCTTGGGGCCTTAGCCCCCTCACACTTGTAATCTGTCATGTGTGAGTACCAGGCAGATATCCCACCCTTGTGGAGTCAGAGGAACTCAAGGGCAGAAAGGGAGATGTATGCAATGCACATGAAGAGAGGTGTGTCAGGTTACACCTGCAGGAAGTAGGTTGCTGCAGCATGGCTGTAGTAAAAGGTGCACTGAGAGGATGTGAAACAGAGAACAGCCACTTCTAATAGGGTAACCAAATAGCCCAGGTTGATGAGGAAAAGTTCTTCCTCATGAAAATAATTCCATCAAATAAGAAAGAAAGAAAGGATAGAATTAGGAAATCACCATTTTGTAATTCCACATGAGTTAATTGATTCAAACAACAATTATCAATAGGTAAGAGGCTGATGGGAACTTTGCAATGGAGGTCTCAGGCTGACAATACCTGCAACTACTAATCAATCTCAGCATCACTAGGAGTGGGGAGTCCACACATACGTGCCCCCTGATGTGGTTCATTATGAAGTACATGACACCACCTAAGAAATATTTTAGCCAAAATAGTTAAATTTAAATCTCAGCAAGTCTTTAGGACTAACTCCCCATCTTCTAGAAACAGGAGGGAGTAGAACAAGGAAAATGGCATCGCAAGAAAGTCAACAGACAAATTCAACCCATGAGATATTCCTTTTTTTTTGACCACTTAGTTTTTTTTTTTTTAATTTAAAATATTTTAATATTTACTTGTACATGTTTACAGGAAACAATGATTCATGTAGGGTAGATAGTATAGTTTCATACCCATTAGTTCACCACTTTCCCCTCCTCCCCTGCACCCTCCCC